TGTAACAGCCAAGAGACCTGTTAAACCCAGGGTCAGATCATGTCAGTGTTCTACTCAAAACTCTCCTTATCACTCCAGCAAAAGGCAACTTCCTAAGAACAACCTACAAGGCCCTATATAATCTCTTTCATTTACATATTAAGCACATTCCTGCCTCGGAGGCATTGCACTTGCTGGTCTCTAGAGACCTTGGTTCTTAACCTTTTTTGTGCATGTGCCATGGACTATTTTGGCAGTCTGTGACACCTGTGGACTCCTTCCGAGTAGAGTATCTTTAAATCCATAAAATAAGTTCCACGAATTATAAAGAAAACCAATTGTATTGAAATACAACTCTCAAAATATTGTATTTTGTATTTTAAAAATAAAAATACAATCTCAAAATAAAACTCTCAAAGTATATATGTGCTTCTCTATTAATTCATTAAATTACAAGAGCTAGCACCATGATTTTGGAGTAGTGATGAGTAAAATGATATTTTTTTCAATAAATTACTCATGAAGTGTAATATTTTAAGATATTTGCAACAATTCTAGTGATATGAAAATATCTGTGATTTCTACCAGCAATAACGTCACAGGTGTTGCTAATATCACTGACTTGTTATCTGTATTCATAATTGAAGAACATGCTACATTTTAATTAGTGAAAATAAAGTTGTAATTTTTTTCTCATCTAAGGTCAAGGATTCTCTGAATTCTATCCACAGACCCATGGAGAGGAGAGTCTGTGGTCTCCAGGTTAAGAACAGCTGGCTTCTCTTCCCCCATGTACATACACACATACTCCCGCATACAGTTCACTTCTTTACCTCCTTTTCTCAAAGACTGTCTTCTCGGTGAGAACTTCCCTATTTTATTTAAAATTGCACTCCCACATTGTGTATCACCCTTTCCTACTTAAGAGTTTCTCCACAGCACTTAATCACTTTCAAGCATAATATATATTTTTATATTTTGGAGTTTAGAATAAAATCATGTCCAATTTTAATAACCTGCTCACTCTAGCAGCTAACATTTTTACCTTTCTTTTTTTTTTAAGTTCTGGGATACATGTGCAGGATGTGCAGGTTTGTTACATAGGTAAGCATGTGCCGTGGTGGTTTTGCTGCACAGATCATCCCATCACCTGGATATTAAGCCCAGCATGCATTAGTTATTTTTCCTGATGCTCTCCCTGCCCCACCCCTCATTTGTTTATTTTATTTATTTACTTATTTGTGTGTGTGCGTGTGCTGGGTCCCCAACACCAAGAATGGTGCCTGGCATACGGGAGGCTTGTTGAGAAAAACGAAGGATTACATCTCAAGAACTCTGTTTCTTCTAATTTCTTTCCCGTAAAAAGTTAATGAATGATTACATCCAAATAGAGATTGTGGAAAAAGGGGGGAAAAAAAAAGTTAATGAATGATTTGTAAGACTTTTAATAAAGATTAAGGAGTTACAATTAGCTTTATCGTTATCATTCTGTTAAAGCTTCCAAGGTTAACCTTAAACAGCAGCAAAGAGCTGTGGGAATCCAAGGGTTTTGATAGTCCTAAGCAAGAGGTATTTTCAAGGGCTCATTAGAAGGCCTGGGTCTCACCCCAAGTCAGGGAACCACCTCAGAAGCAAAGTACCGCTCATAAAATTCTTCTTGCCAAGACAGCAGTCAGATCCCCCCATCCCCAATCAAACCAATAATAGTAATACTTTTTCTTTCTGGCAGTGTGGTAAAATAGAAACCACGTAGGTCTCAAGGTCAGCTAGACCTAGGAGCCAATTCTGCCAGCACTTACTAGCTGTATGGCTGCGGTAAGTTACTAAACCTTTCTGAACAGGTAAGAAGGGGTTTGGGGGAGGATGAGATGGAATAGCTTACAAAATCACCAGTACACGGCAGGTGCACTTTAAATGGTCACCCCTCCCTCATTCATCTCTGGAGGTCATCTCTTTAGACTGCGCCACTGTAAACTGGTACCCTCACTCCCACCCCAGAATGGACATCTGGACCTTGACCATCAAGCTTCAGAGAACAATTTCACCCTTCCAAGAAAAACCCCACTTAGGTACCAGGCAAAGTGCTAATGAGCACTATGCACCCTGTGCCAGCTGCTGCTTTACACATACCACATGTATATGTACATACATACATATATGTATATGTGCACACATGGCCTCAGCAACCCTCCAACCACCCCCTTCTACCCAAAAGGAAAAAGAGATTCAGGGAGATGAATTCACTTGCCCACATCACACAACTTCCAAAATGCAAAGCCAGGATTAGAACCTAAGTATTTAACCATTTTGTTGCACACTCCAAGTCTGCAACACCTGTTTCCAGACTCCGAACTTGGCTAGGGAAAAATCCCACCAATTGACCACTGAGAGCCACAGCCAGGTCTAATTGGGAGGTAATACCCAGACCATCCTCTTGCCAGACAATTATCCTCAGACCTTGTGAATGAAGGCCAAGGAAGAAGAAATGTTGCAGTGACTCTGAGCTCATATTTCTTTCTTGTTGCAAAAACTGCTTATTTCAGCATCCATCATCTCCCTCTTTGTTGGGTAGACAATCTGCCCTGTCAGAGGATTTGTGCTGTTATTATGAGTTTGTTTATTATTAGATTTATTTCTCCTATAAGCAAATGTGTTCACAACATTCCATCGGGGAATCTTCTTAATTGTCACATAAATGTCACCTTATGTAAATTGAATATTTAACTTCCCATGGAAGGGGGTGGAGGAGTAAGGAAGAATAAACAATCTTCAGTCTTGGAGAGGGAAGGCGAGTCTGGTGTCCATTCACAACTCACCCACATGCCTTCAAAGCCAAAGGTGAGCTGAAAAATTATTGGATAATCTTTGAGGGGCAGCCGAGCATGAGGGGGAAGAAAAAGTTGGCCACGATGCTTTGGGGATGTTGGGCCAGGCTCCCCACAACCTCCTCCTGAGGCCACACCACCCCCTCCCCAGTCAGAGGCATTCCGAGGAGGCTGAAGCCTGACCCCTGATTCCTCCCCGACCAGGAGGCCAGTCCTTCTCCTTCCTCGAGAGAAGGTGAGCTCGGCGGGCGCAGCGGGTTGGGTGGGTGTGGCCCGCGGCTCCGGGAACAGACCCAAGGCCCCGCCACCGCCGGCTAGCAGCCCGAGAGCCCGCCCGCCTGGCGAGCGCAGGCTCTTCTTCCAGAAACTGCGAGGATCCGAGCGCACTGTTTGTGCACCACAAGGTCAAGTCGGGAAGTGGAGCCGGAGGAGGAGGGGCGAGGAGACGAAGGGTGGGGAGAGGGGCGCCCCGCTTCCTCGCCATGTGCCAGCCTTTGGAAGTTACCCCTCGGTTTTTAACCCTTTCGGGGTAATGGGAAGGAAGAGCAAGGAGGAAGGGGTCGCCCCGGGGCAAAATCCTACTGGGGCCAGGATGTGCAACCAGCCACCCACCCACCCATCACTGCCTTCTCCACCCCCCGGAAATGCGGGGCAGCGCTAGGCGCCAGGAGGCACTCGGGAGGGGGGAGGGGGCGACGAGCTCAATGGGGACCCTCTCTACGGACCGCCCCTCTTTTCTTGAGGTCGCCTACAATTTCAAGTTCCCCCGCCCGGAATGTTAGTTTTCCATTTGGAGTGGGTGCGGGGAGGAGGGCCGCGCCCCCTCCCCAAGACTCGCGTGCGCCCCTCCACTCCCCTCCTGCCAGCACTTTCTGCTCACTTCTGGCGCTGCAAAACGCCACGCGATTTATTCGATTCGCATTTTAAAACCAGCGATTCAGAAGCAGGGCCTAGGGCGAGGGTCTTCCAGCGCTGGAGGGCCCCGGGGGGCGGGGTGCTCAGTGCAAACCTCGTTCCCTCCGCGAGTGTCGCCTCCAGGCTGTTATTTGCAAAGAAACGTCTTTTTGACGCAGGGAGAAATGGCAAATTTTAAGTACGTCATTAATATGGCGCCAAAAGATTTTTTTAAGTATAAGCTTGCTTTTTTTTTTTTTTTTTTTTAAGGTTGCGGGGGGCGCCGCCCGGGTCTGGGGCGCGTAGGGGGCGGGGTGTGAGCAGAAAGTGTGAGTGAAAGAGTGGAGGGGCGGGGTATGTGTGTGAGTGTGTGAAGTGTGAGCAGACCTGATGGGACTTGCACGGGCGCAGCCGCCGCTCGGGCCCGGCCCTGGGGACAGGGCGGGCGGGGGGCGCCCCAGAGTCCATAGGGAGTCCGGGCCCAGGGTGCCGGCAGGCGTGGTGTTGGGGGTGGTGAGGCAGGGCACCCTCCCCCACGGGGCCCGCAACGCTACCTGGACTCCCCGCCGGAGCCAAACAACTGGGCGGGGGGTTGGGGGGGCGGCGACGGGGGTGTCGGGAACGGAGATCCGAGTGAATAAGAAAAAAGTGGCTACTCCCCCTCCCTCGCTCCTCCTGCCCGCCCCCACCCCACCCCCACCCCAACACATTTTTTTTTTCTAAAGAGATCACAAGGAAGTCTTGGTTTAAAAAGAAACAGAAACATACACAGGGGGTTGGTGAATGGTGCCGACCGCGGCCATCGCAGTTGGAGGCTATTTTTTGGGGGGGTGAGTAGCGTCCATGGAGTTACTTTGCGCCCACTCCTAGAGGCACCGGCTCAGGTCCGCCGGGCCGACAGTCCCCGGCGGGGGGCGTGGGGCCGGGGACGCCGCGGGCCCGGCCGCCTCCCTCGCCGCGACCCCGGATGGATGCGCGCCCCCCGCCCTCCCGCGCCGGCCCCAGGAGCTCCCGGCTTCGGGAGCATCCTTCCCGCGCCGGTCCCTGCAGCGGCGCGTAGCCGAGGGCAGCGCCAGTCAGGGGGGCACCGCGAAGCAAGGTAAGATCCAGCCCCCGGCGGATGGGCCCTGCGCATCTCCACGACGTTATTTGGTGTTTTTGAAACAGATCTGCCAGCGCTCTTCGCTCCCTCGCTCTCTCTTGCTCGCTCGCTCCCTCTCTCTCCTGCTGGCTGCCTGTTCTAGGAAGCCAGCGCGGGGGGGGGGGGGGGGAATGCACAGCACAGGGGAGAGAGATTGCGCATGTTGGTCAGTCGTGTTTTAAAGAGTACAGTGCGGGGAGGCTGAGAGGGGCGCATGCAACAACAACTTTTGGAAGGGTGAGCTTGGCGACCTTCTTTATTAATGACTGCGGCAAAGCGCCCCCGGGCCGGCGAGGGGGCGCGGGCGGGCGGGGGCGCGTCAGGGCTGCAACTTGCCCCGCGGGCTCCGGTCGGGCGTAGGGGCTGCGGCGGGAGATGGGTACGGTGGGGAGGTCGAGCGGCCGGGGCGGGGGCTCTGAGAACCTGGAGCTATCTGCCCTCCTGTCTCCCCGAGTTTCATTTTGTTGATACGCAGCACGTCCGGGCGCCGAACCGGGCTGAGCCGGTGCACATGACCTCGCGCTGGGCTCACGTGCAGCCGGTCCGGTCCCAGACACCTTCCGGGGGCCACCGCCTCCGCCCTGTAGCCCCCTCTCCCGGCCCGGTGCACGCGGGTGCTGCACGCGGGGGCAGCATGCTCGGCTCCTGGGGTTGGAGGCTCTGCACAAATTAGACAGTTTTTTTTGGAGGGGCGGGGGACACCCTTTACAGGTGAGTGTGGAGGGTGCGGAGCCTCGGCGCCAGGGGTGAGGACTGGGGTCGGGGGCAGCCTCCACCTCCGAGGCCGCGCGGGAGTCCAGCTGGGGAGAGGCGCTGGGAGAGTGGAAATGTACCGGCGGCGGCCGGAGCGGCGGGTGCGCGCCCGCGGGGCGACGGCAGGGGGCGTGGCCCTTGTTTACCTTCTCCCAACTCTGCCGGTTCGCGTCCCGCTTCAGGGACGGATCCGCAGTCCCCTGCCCTCTGCCTCGGGCCCTGCAGCCTGGGTGGTACCAGGAAGATGCCGGCTTGTGGCGGACCCCGTTTGGGACGCATACACCTGACTCTCAAATGAGTGACATTGCAGCCCCCGCCCCCACCAAGCGCTGCTGCAGTCCCTTTGCCGGATCCCCGGCCCCGCCCCGCCCCCGGCAGTGGCATCTTCCCGGCCTCACCTCCTTCCTCCCTCTCCCTCCCTTCTTCCCACCCACTCGCCTGCGCCTGCGGAGCGGCGCCCGCCCGCCTCTTCCCCGCCTGGGTGCAGACTTGTGGCTCCCCATGGTTTCTTCCCGCCCATCCCTGGGTCCTGAGACACCCTCTCCTCTTGGCGAAGGGATGAGGGGTCAACTTGGCGATTCGCAGCTGTTCTGCCGGAGGATGGGGATGCCTGCGAGACAGCCAGGAAGGCTTCACTGTAGCTTCCAGAGGCCCAGCCCTGTCCCCTACTACACACAGCTACCCACCCCACCCGCCCCAGGGCTCGGCTGCCCTTCCCGGCGTCTCTTAAACCCCTCCCCCGACCTGGGTGTCAAGCCCACCCACCTCCCGGCGCCGCCCCCGGTCCGAACAGCCTCTTGCCCTTCCTTCGCCTGGGCAGGAGCCCCCCGCAGCCTCCTCCGGCTCCTCCTCCCGGCTCCCGCGGTCGGAATCACGCCGGCGCGCCTCCAGCCTGCGGTCCCGCGGACTGCCTCCAGGGGCGGGCTGGAGGCGCGCGCAACTCTCCTCCCAATCCCCTCAGCCGCTGCCGCTGGCCTGGGCACTTTTTTACCAGCTTGGCTGCTGGCCTCTTGCTGGAGGCTGGGGGAGGTGAAGGGTCACTGGGTGTCTTTGCCCTATGCCGAAGGCACACTGCGGCCGGCGATTCTGGTCTGCAGATTTCCAAACCTCGCCACTGCGTCTAGCACCCCTGGCTCATCTTCTGCAGGATCCTGAGGCACAAAGTTTTATCCCTGGTCAGAGTTTGTAGGGGGTCATCGAGAGGTGTCATGTTTCCATTCAGAGCGGTTCCAAAGCGGCTAGGAAGGGGCTGAGTGGGACCTGCTGCCATGCCTTTGTTGGAAGGAGGACCCTTGAGCTCTGATCCCAGACAAGCCGTCCGGACGCCCCCTGAACATTTAATAAAGTCTGCAAACTGAGTCCTGGGTCTGGGAGGTGGTACAGCCGCCTGGCCCCTCCTCTCGGAGTGGCATTAACTCCCTGCCTTCACTGGTAAAATTCCCAGTAGGACATTTGGCAAAAGGACTGAGCATGGAGCTGCCAACCGGGCCTGGCTTTGTTTCCTGGGTTCCCAGGCTTCTCCCCTACTCTGACTTTCTTTCTCACCTTAGGGCCCCAGATGAACGCACCATCCGTCTTGTCCCATCTTCCTTAGACGGGTTGGGACTCGCAGAGCCATCTAACAAGCAGAGGAGGAAAATAACAACAGAATAACTGTAAGGGGGAAGGAATGAGTAATAAAGCTGACCCAGGCAGGGAGGAGGGCTTTCATGTTTAAGAGATGCTATTTGCTTTTTGGGTCACAGGCTGCAAAAACAGGCTTTGATCCGAAGTGGGCGAATAATTTATTGAGCAAGTTTGCATGGTAGGGGAAAAAAGGGATGTTTGTTTGATCTGGAGCCCACTAGGTTGTCCCAAGTGCTGTTGGCTGTTGTTTTGAGTGGAAAAGCATTTGGTTCTGCAGCAAATGCCTCACAGAGGGAAGTCCTCGCCCCAGGCAGCAGGACTTGCAGTGAATGTTGGTTTTGAAACTGTTTGGCCAAGGGTCCCCCCAGCACTTTTGGAGATGAAGTGTTTAAGGATAGAGTTGTTTGGGCTCAGGATGCAGCAAATGTTTCCAGAATGTTTTCCCGTCCAAAATGCTTTTCCTTTCCCTAAATTGCCTGGCTAAAGAGCCAGTAACAGTAGTCCAAGAGGTTGTCAGAAATCTCCACTTAGCTTTCATTGACTGGTGAGGTGGGACTGTCAGTCCCCAGGCCCTAGATGCACCACAGAATATTGAAGTTAGGCCTTGGACACTGACCCCCAAATTGCTGAGGGTGGGAGGCAGTGTATTCTGGCTCTAACCTAGTGTTCCTCTTAACAGGAAGGCAGTTGTCTTATGCTCACAACACAGGTGAGAGGCTTCTAGTCCAAATTCTTCATAGCACATGCAGCAGGCTCTTTGGGACCTCCCAGTTCTCCCTTTAGGTCAGAGTTGGGAAGCGGGATACCCTTGGCTTGCCCTGTCCTCCAGATAGGACCCTTACCATGTGGCTCAAAAGCTTACAATTATAGGTCCGCTCAAAGCTCCTTTCAGACAGCCCATAGGAATCTGGAATACCCACACCCTGGAACTTGTAGGCCTGTGCACTTTAGCCCACTGGGGATGGGGTACACATTCTGGAGTCAGACAGCCTAGGTTTGAATCCTGGCTGTGCAGGACAGTTACCAACTGTCATAATGGCTCTATACCTCAGTTCCTTCTGTTACAAGGAGCACTTTCTGCAAATGAGATTAATAACAGTACCTATCTTATGGTGGATGTATAGAATAAGTGATTACCTAAAAAAGACTAAGCCCAAAGCAGGCATGCGATAAGCATGTGATTAGTATTAGTCATCCTTATTATACCTGGGGAGGGCCCTGATGCAGCTTTGACCTTTGATCTCTCACCTTTAGGCTAGGCCAGAGAACCAGCTCCCTTCTCTGCAGAAGGGATCAGAAGGATCCTGCAGGTGCCAATGCGCAGCCGATATGGGAGCGAGTGGACAGAGCTCTGCCCTCTCTGGGGCAAAGAGTAGGGTGAGAAGGTTCTGAAGAACAAAGTAGACAGAGCCTTTTCATTCTCCCACCATCCCGTCCCCTCGGTACGTCCCCAGAACTAGTCTGGAGGATGGGTGTGGGCAGCGTCTTCAAGGGGAGCTGGGTCCCCTCTGGGACACGAAGTTGCAGACAGGCAGTGGCGGGTGTTGGAGGAGGGTTCAAGCTCCTCTAGATTTGGAGAAGCAGGTCCAGGAAGCCGACTGGAGGATCCCAGGCAGCAGCCCTCTACTCTGTGTACAAAATCATTTTTGTAACTGCAATTACTGTCCCTGAGAAGGCATTAAAGTTAATGAGAGATAGGAAAGAGTGGGGCTGTGACCCCTGTTTAAAGCGGTTTAAGAGTGTGCAGCTCTTGTTTTCTGAATGTCTGGCCTTTGCAACACAAGGAGGCTCTGAGGACAGGTTTTCCAGCCGAAATATCATTAAATTGTATTAGCATCTTATTACACACACGCCTTAGTGGTCTGCCTCAGACAGGGAGAGTTTTTGTTTCTCTTTGAAAGATTGTGTCTGGAATGGTAAATTGCCTGCTTGAAAGCCCTTTTTTCCCCTTTTTTTAAGGAGGAGGACGAAATCCTGCTGTGTGGTGGCGGGCAGGCCAGGCCTGGTGGCCCCTGGAGAGGAGAGGCTGGAGGCCAGGTTGGGGTGTTTTAACTGCCCAGGGAGTGGCTGTAGTGGCAGGCCTGAAAGGCCCACTGTTCCCAGGGTCAGCTGGAAGGGCGTTAATGGAGGCCCAGGGTGTTTATTTGAGTTTATTTGCAGAGAGGTCTTTAAAGGGGGCTGGCATTGGGCATTGGTGTTTTAAGTCCAGACCTGAGGCCCCCACTAAGACCAGTCACTAGTGCTGCCAAGAAAACATCTGCCACCAAATTGCTGCCCTATTACTGAGTTGACATTGATCATTAGCCAGGAGCCCAACCAAATAAAGCCTCCTGGAAAATGTGTGAGGTTAAGACGGGGAAGGCAGGCTGTGAAAACAAGGGCGAAATCTTGGGCTAGGGTGTTTGTTCCTGCAAGCCACAGGCAGGCCAGCTGGACTGTGTGGTCCCAACACTTCTTGGGGGAGGGAGCGAGAGCACACTCAGCACTCCCTAGTATGTCTCTGGGGTCCTGGCCGGAGTCTAGATGGAATGCTCCTTACTCTTCATGGAATATACATTCCCAAGGAGAATGACATGCAACAAGTAGCTCAACAAGCACAGCTGGGATGGGTGTTCTGTGGAAACTGGGTGGTGAATTTCTTCAGATACTCTGATGAGCATAGACTGACATGGGCCACATTGAAGCTTAAACCTGAAGGTTGAAAAGTCAGACGTGCATAGACCACATAGTAGAATATTCCAGGCAGAGTGGAGTACAGCATGTGCACAGGTCTCGAAGTATGGAATCGTTGGCTTTTTCAAGGGAATGAAAGGAGCCCAGCATGGCTAGAAGGTGGTGAGGAAGGGGATGGTGGTGAATATGAACTTGTCCAGCTGGTGGGGGCCAGACTGTGTAGGGTCTTGTGGTCAGGAGCTTAGGATTTGTCCTTTGAACTATGAAGCCCTTGAAAGATTTTCAGTAGGGGCATGATGTGATCTGATTTATGCCTTTTAAAATTTTTATTTTGTTCTAATTTTTTTTAGAGATGGGATCTTGCTGTGTTGCCTGGGCTTGCCTTGAACTCCTGGGCCCAAGTGATCCTCCTGCCTCCACCTCCCAAGTAGCTGGAATTATAGGCGCATATCACCATGCCCAGCTTCTGATTTATACCTTTTTTTTGAAACAGAGTCCCACTCTGTTGTCCAGGCTGGAGGGCAATGGCACAATCTCAGCTTATTGCAACCTCTGTCTCCCAGGTTCAAGCAATTCTCTTGCCTCAGCCTCCAGAGTAGCTGAGATTACAGGCTCCCGCCACTACGCCTGGTTAATTTTTGTATTTTTAGTAGAGACGGGGTTTCATCACATTGGCCAGGCTGGTCTTGAACTCCTGACCTCTCAAGTGATCCACCCGCTTCGGTCTCCCAAAGTGCTGAGAATATAAGGATGAGCCACCGCGCCCAGCTTTTTTTTTTTTTTTTCTGTTTTTTTTTTTTGAGACAGGGTGTCACTCTGTCACCCAGGCTGGAGTGCAGTAGCATAATCACAGCTCACTGCAACCTCAACCTCCTGGCTTCCACTTCAGCCCCTTCAGTAGCTGGAATCACAGGCACACGCCACCATGCCCAGCTAACTTTTGTATTTTTTGTAGAGTCGGGGATTTGCCATATTGCCCAGACTGATCTTGAACTCCTAGGCTCAAGTGATCCGCCTGCTTTGGCCTCCCTAAGTGCTGGGATTACAGGTGTGAGTCACCACACTCGGACTGATTTACGCTTTTTAAACATCACTCTGGCAGCTGTGTGGAGCCTGGACATGGGTGAATTGATAGTGGAAGCTGGGAGATGAACAAGTGGTTCAGGCAAGAGATGAGATTGGTTTGGACCAGTGTGGTGACAGTAGGAAGAAAGTGGGTGTGTTCTGGAGGCACAGCCTAGTGGACTTGGTGGGGCCGAGGATGCACAGAGAGGCCGTGGGCTTCTGCTTCATTGAGGGGACTCTGCGACACCCACACTTTGAAGGGGAGCTTCCTACATGTGTCTCCATGCTGGGGGTTGCATGAGAGGTGCCAATAGACTAGTGCAAATGGCAGGAAAAGGAGATCCTTTCTTTCCTAGAGTCTCCTTTATAGGTAGGATTTCAGGAGCACTTTCTGTCCTCGAAAGCAAGTGCCTGGTGACACTGAAATCTCCCACAGCAGACCTTGCTTTGGGGGAGATGGGGGAAGCCGGTGGAGAGGAAAAACCAGAGGCCAAGATCACATCTCAGCACCTCCACCCCCACATGTGTTTGCAGTCCTGGATTTCAGCTTTGGGAAAGGAGTCCTCCCTGTCCCTCTTGCTGAGTTTGCAAGGAGGGTGATCCACGGGGCAAAAAACTGGCACAGTGCGGTCCCAGGCCTCGTTAGCCACTGTGACAGTGGGAGCTCG